GGCTTATGGTGAAAGTGTTGTGCTCAGATAAGAGTGACATTTCTGACTCCATCCCTCTCCACATTTGTTTACCAGGTTCCTCCAGGGCTTCCTGGTTGTGTAAGCAGCCACTTGGAGATCTTTCCACCCAGGCCGGCAATCCCAAGCTGGGGCCGGACTCAGACGAGGGAAGCCTGAGCAGCGGAACCTACAGTTTGTACGGGGCTCCTCCGCCTTGCACCTCCTCTGACTCGCATATCCCCCCCGAGCAGAAGAACTGGTCTCAGACACCCGGATCCAACTTGCAACCCCGCTCCACCTCTGCTGTGAAAGAGTCCGATATTTTGAGTGACGAGGACGATGACGGCTTTAGCGAGGGGGGAACGAGAAGGGACAGTGCGGACAGCAGTTCCCCAACTAGCGCCATTGAGGCTCAGTTCCTCCAGCTTCAACTCTCTGAGGACGCTGTGTCAAAATGTGCACCGGCTCCCTGTGTTCAACCTGAGGGGGTGGGGGACACTCCAGAGACCCAACCCAAACTGATGCGAGGACATTTCAGTGCTGTTAAGAGAAAACCAAACAGTTTAAGGAGGAGCCAGGGTGCTCTGCTGAGCATGAAGGCGCACAGCAGGTCACTGGACAGCCAGGCGGATGCAGCATCGCCGCCAGGGGTAGTGGACCTCAACACGCTGCTGGAGAGAGAGTTCAGTGTCCAAAGTCTGACATCTGTAGTGAATGAGGACTGCTTCTATGACCCAGCTGAGAGCTGTGCCACTGACTCTGGAAATGCCACCTCCTCGTAGGGGGCTGGATTGACAGAGCAGAACTATACTGTACCAGGGCCACAAGTTAATGGTCACAAGGGCGAAAAGGTGCAGACCAAAAGCCCCTGCGTTACAAGAGGTGAAACCCCTGCGGCTCGCTGCGGGCTCTACCAGCGTGGCTGTGAAGCTGTGCCTCAACTCTGCAGTCTGTTTAGTAGGCAACACATCTGCCTGCTAAAAGTTAGGCATAAATGATCTGTTCTGATGGAAGCCTATTGGCTGACAGACACAGTTTCTCTCCCCCAGAGAGGAGAAGCGAAGCGATTTTTGTCCCAATGATAATGACTGCAATGAATCTGCCAAGCACTGATGCGTTCCTGCGATCTCCTCAGCTCGCCGGGCTTCGCCTCCTCCCAACAAAACCGTCTGAGTGACGTATTCCATCCTAGTTTCCCCTGCAGCTCATGCTGATTGGCAGTTTTTATTTGGGTTTTGACCTTTTCTGTGAGGAAATTGGGAGAACGTCCTTCGTCTGTCAGTCCCTGAAGTTAAAGGAGGAGGAAGTCCGCGGTGCATATAGAACCGGGGGATACAGAGATGCAATAGGTTTCTGAGTTTATTGAGTCTGTGCTACATGTTGTTTCAGTTTGCAGGGCAGCAGGCTTTCACACAGGCTTTAGGTTTGGTAAAGTATTCATTTGTATTTGGTTTCACAGAACCAAACACTATAGCTTATTACAAATTAAATTTTCGTTAAAATTGATAAGAAAGGGGGCACTGAGTGAAGGCTATCACAGTCTAATAAGATCCACCCAAAGAGCTACGGAGGTCAGACTTCCTGAGGAAGCGATGACATTGGCCTAAATAAACAGGAAGGACACTGACTTTCGTAACTAAGCCTTTTTGCTGTATTTTGTGCACTAAAGTACACTGTCTGCCTATATATTTGAAATATTTTTTATCTGTACAGGTTTTAATTAATGCTGTTTTTATTTATTAATAGGTTTGATTATGTGTATCTTAGCAAAGTAACTTTTTGGGTGAAGGCTTGAACCGTTGGCTAAAGATTTGGTCCATTAGTTAATAAAAAAAGATGCAATACAGCTTGATGTTTTTCCAACTTCATTTTGAAAATGTAGCCTACTGGATTTTGGTTGTCTTTTCGCTGAAGATTGTAATTTCCAGTGTATGCGTTGAAAAGTGTTTTTGAGATATGGCTGCTTAATTGAACGATTTAAACTGCAATAATGTTTAAGCCCCAGTGTTTCTTGACGTTTGTGTGTCCCGTGTATATAATCTTTTCTATCTTTTGAAACATTTATGTATTCTCTTATACATACTTGACACTGTACAGGTAAGAAACAAGGCAGGAATTTGCAATAAATGCAGCTGATATTTTTGTAAAACGTTTTGTTTGCCATAGGACGTGTTTAAGGTACTATAACAAAGGCAAACCACTACTACAGTCTGTACCTTCTCAGCTCAACTTTACCATGCCTTTAATGCTAGCATACCAATGAATGTGAATGCCCCATTGTTAAGGAATTGTTTTATAAATAAAAGTTTTATCTGTGAATGACGCCTGGAGAACAATGCTTTCAACTTTCAGTTCAGCTGTCAGTTCAGTTTTACAAATCCTTTCTGTTCTATTGGCAGGTAAAGCAGTGCTGGGAAGTAAGTGTCTTATCTCTTGGTCCCTTGGCTAGACTTGCCACCAGTCCCTGATTAGTTGTCACAAGAAACACAGAAGTTTATATCCTGGTATTGGAAGAAAAGGTATATTCTCAATAGAATACATAATTATCTGACAGAAGTGGGGCACAGTTACATGAAGAAAGCAAGCTCTGCTGTGGTGCTCGGATTTTATACACAGGCGCATGAAATTAACCAGGCTGTATGTTGGGAATTTTTTTTTTAATTAGCTGAGCACATTTAGCATCTCTACATGGACAATTAATTAGTTGTTCTATTCTTTATCTTTCATATTAAACCCAGTCAACTGAAAACACCCAATTTATTGACTAAATTATATTTTGTAAGTCTTTTTACTGAGTTAGCCCTTGTATTATCTGCATGGCTAGATAGTTTGAACTTTAGTTTTCCTCACATCTGCTGACATTCTGGCATTACCCTAATAGGAGGTGAATGGAATTAAATCATGGTGCTTAAAGCGAGCCTGTATAACATTTGCTACACAATAGCCACTGTGGCCATAAGTAACAATTATTTGATAACGTTTCATGCCAAATCTTAGTGGTTAAGTACAAAAGAGTCATAAAATCAGTGAGCAGACTCAGTAAAACAGCAATATCTTGTTAATGTTTGTTTTACAATAAGATACTGTTAATACCAGAGGGTTATAGCAGTATAGAAGTATAGAAAAGGGGATTTGAAAAACTCAAAAGCAATGTGTCTCAGCAAAAACAATGATTTGGTTGCCTGGGACACTGTTTCGGGTGAAATGATCCTTTAAGACACATTTTAAAACCTACTGCCAACCCACCACCTGTTCACTTTCATGCACTCCGCTGGGCCACACAAGGAAAGCTATATCTAAGACTGTGATTAGTATTTAGCTCCTAGCTAAGTTTACACTGAGCAACACAGGATTATTTCCTGACATGGTAAACAGGTGCAGAGGACTACCAGACAGCCAGGCATGATGATGAAACATCCAAATATGTGTGGACAGGTAATGCTGGCAGAGAAACCGGGGAAGCATCTTGTGCTCTTTTACTATTTTAGAGTCACTGCATTTCACAATCTGTGACAAATCACTGAGTGAATCTGTCATGATGGTGGCTGGGTAGCAGCTACACTGCCAGCTGTCGGCTGGCTACAAGGATAAAAATTGTGTTAGTTCAGGTCTGGTGTGATTTATCAGGTTACCATGCAATGACAGACAGCTGTGGCAGTTTAACAGTTTTAAAACCACACTAAAAGCCATGCAGCTTAATTCTGAAGGGTGATGGGCTGAGGATCATTATTTTTGATCTATGCTCCTTTTTACCAGAATCATTCACACTAATTTTGTCTAGAATTGACTGAAAACATAAACTGTCCTCCGATCATCTCTAACCATCAGTGTTTTGCTGTTGAGTCATATCATCACATATCTATTAGCATGTATAATAATATTTTAGCATATTATACACGTGCTGTACCTGATGCCAGTTTATTCATTATATTTCAGAGGGGCATGTTATATTTACACTTTTTAAAATTATAGTTAGTAATAGTTACTTTGCATATGAATATTTTATACAAAACATTGCTTCTTATAAATATGACTCATTGATAACAGAAAATTTCTGTACAGTAATGTTACTGTATGTTTACCTATTTGCTGATACAATTAGCCGATAATACTTCTGTACTTTTACTTACTGTCAAATTGTGAAGCAGTGCGTTTAACAGTACTGTTTACATTGTATCGACACAAACTTTTAAGCGAGGATCTGAATATCCCCCATTTTGAAGACCAAGTATGTCACATTGCATTACTAAGTCTAATGTTAACACTTTTAATACACTTTCAATTTGTGGCTAAAAAATAAAAGCAAGACTTTGGCCACCTCAGACTCAAACAACATGTCTGATACAGTAATGTTAATAAAGTAAAGTTGCATGCCTGTACAATATGTGTCTGATACCTGACAGCTGATTTGTAGGGAGACTGTAGTTTTGACTCACCTGTAGTTGCAGGTTCAAGCACACTGGATTAGAAATGGTAGCCAGCAGGCCTCTTCTGTCTTTAATTGATATATTTTAGGCAGTTGATGTGTTATTTGGAGATAAAATGTGGATGGTAACGTTTACACGTTACACAGTCCAAACAAACATTACAGCGTGGCATAACGGAACATCTCTACTACTGCGTAGCCTGGTGTGTCTACTCAGCAGCTTTTACCTTCCATTTGTGCGTGACGTCAGTTCCCACTCTGCAATCTCTTCCCACACATACAATCTTCCAAAAATAAAAACCCATCATCTTTCTTCAGGGTCAAGTATCTGGATAATAACACACAGCATCGCGGCTGCCAACATCTATCTCACCTATCTGCCATGTAGATCTGATGAAATCCTGATTGTAGTTGGAGATTAACACCCACCAATCATCAAAACTGAGCGAAGTCTCTCTCTGGCAAGGCAACCATGGCATGCCATCTGCCACACTGGCAGGCAACAGCCCTGCCATGTTCTGTTGGTGATAATCTGCTCCAGCATTCAAAAAAGGAGACAAAGAGAACACACAGAAAACCTTTAAAAAAAAAACCTGGGTCAGATTTATTCAACATACATGTTATAAATGCTGCAGTCTGTACAAGAAATATGAAAACTGTGTGGGACATCAGTGCGTCCTTGATTAATTTGGCTCATTTGCCTTTTTTAAATATAGGCATCAATTCCTTTTTCTTTAATACAACAAGAGTCTTTCTGGAGCAGACTAATTCCCACCATTTTCCTCCTCTCTTTGAGCTCTGTCTCCCAAATGACTAAGTAATACAGTACATAGTGGAAGGAAAAAAATGGCCTGGATATGGCGCTGCCGTGTTGTTTTCATTCTCTAAACCACCCTGAAAACACTCTGACATTTCTTTCAGGTCCCACAGGACGAGGTGTTATGCAAGTTGGATCTGAAGTAAGAATTGGGACATAAAACAGATACTCTTAAAGAGAGCTACTGCGGGTGACTAACACACTTTGTTTATTTGCCCCAAATCCCATCCCATCCTGGAATGAGGTCTTGGAGCTGATCCTACCCATTCAGGACCTTCATGTGCCTTGTGGCTCCCTCCGTCCCAGGATTTCATGTATACCAACTTACCTATTGCTCCCTGGGTGCAGGGAAAAAACATTTTAAAAATGCATGTATATGCCAGGTGGAAATGTCAAAGCTAAGAGCAGTCTGTTGTCTCCCTGCGCTAACCGAGGCTATTAGCAGGCTTCTCTTGGTTCCCATGCTTTTTTTCCTCCTTTCTTTCAGCTGAGTTGTTGAGGACTTGGTGGTGTGCCGGTTGCCGTGTCATTAAATGTGTCCGTTGGTGTGTTTCCTTGCCCGCTGGGGTGCTTCAGTCTGAGCTCCTCTCTGAACTCGTAGCTGAGGAGACTGGGCTCACGGGTGCAGAGATGAGCGTAGGAATCCACTAAAGCCCTGATGTGGGGTATAGTGAGCTCTGTGGGCCGTAGAGTGGGGTCAACGTCTGCGTTTTGCATCATCTCCTGTGTCAGCTCAACACGACACGCCTCGGGGAACAAGTTTCTGGGCGGGAATAGAAAACGTGAAGAAATGATACAGTACATGGGAAGTACAGATTCCTACACTCAGGTCGCTTTGATATCTTAATGATCATGCAAGTTTAATGGCATTATAAAGTTCAAACAGAAAGAAATTATCCCTCAGCAATTATTTCAAATCTGTGAAGTTAATTGAAATCACACAAAGGGCTAGAACTGCTCATGAATTGTTAATTTGTTCTACTGCCATACTCCATAGTCAAGGGATGTAGATACTGACACACAACTCACACAGGCACAAACTTTGCTAACAATAAAAAGGGTTGCTATAATTTAAATGAGCAATTTGCATTGACTGTGCTACATCTCACTCTGAAAAGCTCTCCCTCTCAAAATATTCATTACAGAGAGGTAGCCATTTATTTCCCCTGCCTAACATGTTCTTCTGTATTCTTTCTCTGCAGGTTGGTGAGCAATAGCCAATTCCACACACTCTGGAGTACAGATGCTTTTTAGGCGCTTCAGCGCTGGTGCCTCCTCTCCAATTTGGTGCTTCTGCCGCCAACCCACTGCAGTTACATAATACATGCTGCCTCGTCTTCCTATGCCACCTCAATGACTCATAATTGCTGCGCTCTTTCACACAGCCAGTGTTCCATTGTTATCCGGGCCTACATACACTTTCCTAACAGGCACGGGGGTGATGGGCAGCGTGCACATGCATGTGGGCGTGTGGGTTTGTTGCCAGTGGTTTTGAAGAGAGCCTGAGTGTGCGCTGAGGTGCATGCTTTAGTTACTGAAAGCCTCAAAAGTTATGTCTTTGTCAGAGTGGTGTGTGTGTGTGTGCCCTGTGTGTGTGTGTGTGTGTGTGACCAAGAAAAGCAAATCAAAAAAACACTAATTAATGATGAGATGAAGATGAGATGCTGTCAGAAAACAGAATGAAAAATGTAGAGAGAATGATAGATGAGGATGAGACATGATTAAAAAGTGAAGAGAAAGAGAGAGAGGAAAGCGAGGGTAGATGCTTTACAAGCTACATCAAGTTGTATAATTGTGCTTACTCTACTCCTCTATAGCAGTACTTCCTGCGGAACTGGAAAATGTTCCTGATGACTTTCTCCACCACCTTGAAGGGCTGCTGGATCTGGGGCTGAACCAGAGGGGTGAAGTGAACTACTCCCACGTCCACCTACACACACACACACACACACACACACACACAGCAAGAGGAATCAAAACAGCAGGGGGTTAGCACACATTCAAACTAGATTGCAAAGAGTGTGCTCATGGGAATGAAGAGAGGAAAAAAGTGTCAGGAAAGAGCAGGTATGTGTGAGGAGGAAGAAGAATGCAAAGTGTGGAGAAAAATGCCGGGATGAAAGGTTGCCTGCCAAATAGTAGGAGAGATACAAAGCTGGGCAGAGAGAGAGAGAGAGAGAAGAGACGAGAAGAGAGAGAGAGAGATGAGAGAGAGAGAGGGAGATGATGAGAGAGAGAGAGAGAGAGATCAACACACTGGGATAAAAGAAAAGAGGAAAGGCAGAAAATAAGATGACGCAGCATGGCTGGCTGGCAGGCCAGTTCCAGTTGCCACAGTAACACCTGTGCGATGGACCATAGAAACTGAGCCTCTCTCCTTTTTTTTCCTGTCGCTGCATCACCACTGAGTTTCTTAATGCCTATGAGCCTGACTCACTGTAGCGCTCTTCTCTTCATCCCACTGTCTTTGTCCATCCAGCTCTTCCCTTCCCACTGAGAGTGAAACCAGTGGAGCATGCACATATATAGATAAAGTGATGGGTATGTTAGACAGCCACAGAGCGCATATCCTGCTTTATGGGAGGCTCAGCGGACAGATGCACAGTGACTAATTCTCTGCTACTTGCTTTTAACCCCTTCTGAGAAACAAAAAAACATTGATTCATCGGTCTATGCATTATTTTTAGCTAACCATTTCACAATTTATTCATTATACTTTTTAGCCAAGTTTCTCTATTGCCTTAAGCTAACCATTTCAACTGTTACTTCAGTACTTTTAGCTATTTCAACCATTTATGTCTTCTTTTAACTGTTCTGGCATACCTCAGCTCACTCGCTACCTAGTTTTCACACACACTCGATCACAACGTGTTTGGTGTTGCAGCTGACTCAATGTATGGATATTTGTTTCTGTTCTAAACGTAATTTCTATTTTTTTTTTATTTAGTTGAGTTACTCTATGATCTTTCCACATACACCTGGCAACTACTGCTGTATCTACTAGGGTTCAAGTACCCCTGGTTGGGAATCACTGTACTGTAGATGGCTGGTGACCTTGGTTCCAGTTCTTCACTCGCTGGTGTGTACTGATCCTTCCTGTTTCAGCCCTAAACTGACATGACACACTGTTGAAGTTATTGTGCCTGACTCTGCAAAGCCTACCTCACCCTCTCTTTAACTTTTTAAAAAGCACACATCTACACATCCACACGTTCTCTCTTCACTCCATTGTTCCCCTTTAAAGGATCATCTACTCTCTTTATCTTCTGATGCCATGATGGGATCAGAAGAACCAAAATACATTAAAAGACTATTTCTGAATCTCTGGATCTGTGCGTTTTCAGCACAAAGAGGGCCATCATCTTTCAAGGGCGTTTCACATGATGATGTTCAGTCCTGCAAGTTATAGCTTGAGGGTCTACTGCACAATCAGAGAGATACTCTGATGATGTGCGCGGACCAATGGCACAGCCAGACAGTGGGCAGCAGCGCAGAGCAGTCGCCTGTCTGTCTTTCCATAGTTGGTAATAGCCTTACTTCTCTGGTGAAGGAGCACTGAGAGGGACTGTACTCCGACTGGCTGAGCAGACTGACAATGGGGCATCAGCAGCGTTAGTCTTAATAATAAGCACTTAAGTGCTTTTTGGCTTTGAGTGCTTTTTCAGATAAGACTCTTTATATAGAGACAAACAGATGTCTATACACAGTAAGTAACTCACATGTCAATGTGAATTGAAATTAATTTTAAATCTGAAAGTGGAATAGGGTGTTTTTTTGATGAAGGATACACGAGCTGAGAAGACGTACAACAGAGAAGACCGATGTAGCATACAGTACATGTGCAGGTATGTAAATGAGAGGAGAGAAAGTGTGCAGGTGCATGAATGGGAATGTTACGCAGCATGTTAACATTTAAAAGGCAAGTGAGGCATGCAAAAAACACACACAAGACATCCCCCCCCTCCCCCCTTACTCATACAATCACATACACAGAGGTAAAATAAAAAAGGACATCTAATTCGGCTCAGACTATATGCCCTGCGGAGCTCCTCCATCCTCAAGGCTTGTATTTCTGGATTGTCTGACTCACTCTCATTCACAGCTGCCTTTTGCTTTCCTGGGCTTAGGGCTGGCGTCGATAATTAGGGGAGGAAAACTAAAGTAGTCCAAAGGCGCGCTAAGGATTTCTAATGAGCTGTTTAGATTCCCCTTTTCTGTGAACAACTGAGGTAGCGCTCGGGAGCACTTGTAAACCGCAGTACTATCTCTTATCAGATCTATAGATCCCTGTGCAGAAATGCCTGGCTGCTGCTGAGCTTCCTGCCGCAGTGGCGTTTAATGGGACGGCAGTGTTGGAGACTGTTAGTCTCAACAGCCCTGGAGGCTAGGTGCAATAATAGCGCAGAGAAAGCTTCTAACTCCCGGGTTCAGCATTAGATGGTTCAATGTGGACGGAGACAGAAAGGATGTTGTGAGTTGAAGCTGTAAGTGTGTGTACTGTATAGCTGTAAAGTAAACCTCACGTTTAATTTTAATGTTGATTTTTGTCATGTTTAACACAGTCTAACGTTGAATGATGAGTTCATGGTTTATTTGTGTCAGTAATGGCCTTGGCTTCGTCTTGATGTGTTCATTATTAATACACTAACCCTTTTAGTTCAGATGATGCATTTTAAATACAAAGGCCATGTGGCAGGTGTTGTCAAGGGCATTAAGAACTGTGGCTCCATCATTTGGTTTAGAACAGAGGCTTGTATTATGAGAATCAATTCCTCCACCTGTCACATCAACATTTTTGTCGGGAATTTCATATCCGGAACGCAAACTGCTTCTATCAGTGCTCTGGTGATGCAAGATCAGACCACCATCTGTTAGAAGGCAGCAATAAAAAGGAATGTCTTTAATTTCACTCTCTGCTGGAATAATTAGGCCATTTATATTCCGCACTTCATGATTTAAGAGAGGATCAAGGGGAAAAGTCGATATTGGGACTATACATGCAGCAGCATTTCAGCCATCAGCTTGTCCAACTCACTTTGCTGCTATGATTTATATATGGCCTTGCAACATGGCTTCACTAGGTAGCACCACTGGAATATATCCTGCTCCCTGCCATTAATCTTTCCACTGATAACCTCAACATGCAAGGAAACCCCGTCTTAAATCACGAGCCGTCACCTGGGCCCTCCACTGAGGTGCTATGAACATGCCTTCCCCCCCCTGCCCTCCCCCCGAAACCCCTAAAATACTTTGCATCTGCTGGGAGATCCTGAACTGGGGTAGCAGACTGACTTATTGACCCTATCTGACAAGCTTAATATCTCTCCCTCGCTCGGGTTCTCCTATCTCTCTCTCCCTCTTTTTTACAAGGGTGGCAGTAAGGATCATACAGCAGACAAAGACTGGAGCGCTTTGACAGTACTAGGCTTGGGCAAACCACTGTACGTAGCAGGGAAAAACAAGCAAATTGTCACCACTAATTCAGGCTCTAAATTAGATTGTTATGTAAGGATCTATGCTCAGCTCATGAAACTTCCTCTCGCTCTGACTCTCAATCCAGCTAATCTGATAAGACCTTTTGAAAATGAAGGCTTTAAACATTTATATTTACACTTTGAACCTGCTTCTTCCCTTATATATGGTATACTAAATCTGATAAACCAACACCTTGAATTTCTACTGTAAAAAGAAGCTTTTATACTGTTGAATCCCCTTTGAAAAGGACAAAATATGAGAGATCTCTATCTAAAAGTCACACATCTGCTTTTTGTCCGTAACTCGAGACCTTTTCTGACTAAAGTCCTACAGCCATATTAACATACTCGTGCATTAACATATTTCATGTATTTGACCTTCCCAGAGCTCAGCAGAGAAGTCCATTACTCCAGCTCTGCCCTGTGGTTCTCTAGCTCGCCTTTCCCCATTTCCACCCCCGATGTCTCTTTCTTGGTCAGTTCTTGCCCAATGGCGTGTGAGCCGTAATTTGTCATGTCCCTCTAAGCGTAACCAAGATGAGATGGCAGGGGCCCTGGTGTGCCAGCCACTGTGGTACCTGAACCACCAACACTTGCACTTACATAATGGCAGGCAGGTTATGAGAAAGAGCAGGGGGGTGGAGGAAAGCTATATACAGCCAGGGAATACAGGAGAAAAAAAAGCTCACAGAGATCCTGCAACCAAAGGGAGAAGAGCTGCATTAATCATGACAATACCTTGAGAAGACAACCTCCATTACATCAGTGGAGGAAGACAGCCTCTCAGAGAGGAGAAGGCAGCAGTCAATGCCGCTGAACATACTAGGCTGATGTGGCTTGAGGGGTTTGGGGAGGAAGGGCTTTGGCTTCCTGAGCAGGCAGCCCACTGCACTTCCCATGAAATCGCCCATGGCATGCACACAGGACATTCAAGACTGTAGCCCCACGCTTTAACAAGATCAACTCCTTGGAGAGATGCTTTCATCATAGAAAAGCTTGAACTTTGCCCAAAAATGTTACTGGAACAGCAAATGGGGACAACATGGGAAAATAAGTTTTTGATGGGATATTTAAAAAGTCATAAATGCCATTGTACATTGTTCACTTGGGAGTCAGTCTTAATGGAGTAAGCTGAAGAGACTCATTAATCAAGCCAGTGCCGGTCATTTTGCAACATGTCACAAGTGTTTTGGCTTGGACAGGTTTACACATATTATGTTGGGTGAAACTGCACCCGGGCCCTTGCTCCACAACAACATTGCATTGACAGCGACATCACAGCTATCACACGACACCTTGCATCTCTGCTGTGAACAAACCGCCTTTGCAAGACGATGAGCACGAAAAACCAATTACGTAAGAGAGGACATAAAAGAGAAAAATGCAAATTGAACGATAAAAGACGCTTGTGTGGGTAAAAGGGAACACGGCTGGTCCGGCTGTGACTCAGAGCTAT